GCGTGCCTGGCCGGGCGACGGCCCAGCCTAGCATTTCACCATTGGATTTTCTTTATTATTTTTTTTTAAATGTCGTTTTTCATTTTTTCCCCGTCCTACAAATGTGTGGTTAGTACGCCGGTTACCCCAAAAAAAAAAAACAGGCTTGTAGAGTTTTTTTAACCCTACAAGCCTGTATTTTTTTTTTTAACCCTTTTTTCCAGAGCCAGTGCTCATTGAAGGAGGGTGAGGAGCAGCCACGACACAGCTGCTCTGCTCATCCGCAGCGATAGCTGTGCTGAGGTGGAAGAAGGGTGGCGCTGAGGCTGGGTTGATCAGGAGAGAAGGACAGTGGTGGGAAGAGGCCGACTTACCTGGCGATGGCGAAAGAGCACACCCGTGGTGGTCAGACTCTGCAGCATTGTTAGGCGAGAGGAGAGTGGACAGAGAGTGAGCAAGTGTGAGGGAGAGTAGGCTGTGTATAGGGAGAGAGTACGAGGGTAGTTTAGGTGGTCATGTTATAACAGAGTGGCTAGATTGTGGTTGTATTGATCAGTGGAGGCGGGAAGTTGGGCTTTCTTAAGAGACTTCAGTGTCAGGGTGTTTTCATGTGGTGTGCTCTCGGCTTTGTAATTCTGCTTTTGACTTCGCTCATGTGTGCTTGTTCTGCGTGTCTTTTGCTGCTTGGAAATTTATGTTCCATAGATTGTTTCGTTCCATTTCTTTTTCCTTTCTGATCTCCAATATATGCAGCTGCTAAAGTAGCAAAAATGAGTGCTTGTATGGCACTGGTAAAGAGTCCTAAAAACATCATTGGTATCGGGACTACTAATCTCCTTTTTTGAAATTTTATTACTTCCGGCTTTTTTGTAGGTCCCACTTGCTGTGGCAGACATTCAAGACAACAAAATTATGTGCATGCCTTATCTTGCTTTCCCTGGGAAAATCAAGTTTCCGTACAAAGCCAAGTGATGAAGCAGACAATGAAGTCATGGCCCAAGTGACAGTCACAATCGATAATCATCCTCCGCGGATCTTGTCTATGCCAGAGTTCTTCATCACAACTGAACGTTTGCCTTATCCTAGCAGGGGGTATGCAAGCACAACTACTACTACAGACAATTTACAGTCAGTTATCAGTACACTTGCCAAGCAGCTCTTTTTCCGTCTTCTTTTTCTTTTGAAAAAAGCGACAGTCTTGAGATATACTCACAAGTGACCGGCCCCAGGTAATTCGAGATTATTATGGAAGCTATTGTAGATTATATGTTATGATTACTGGTTAATAGTGGTTATCGAGCTTCTGTTATGCCTCTTGATGTATCGTGGAATTGAGGGTCTCAACCCTGATGGGCATGATAATCGAGCCATGAATGTCAGCTATGATGATTCTGACTGACCTGAGAGTTCTTTTATTGGGTGTGTCCCAACCGGGCAACAAGACCTGAGCAGCCACTTCCACCTGGCCGCATTGCCACAGGATACAGGGTGGCACAACTCGCCCCAGTGAGCTACCAGGTTTGACTGGCAGGTCATCCTCCTCAGGCCACTGAACATGACAGCAGTGGGAAGATAACCCGGTATCGAACCTACTGAGCTAGCCGATGGGAGCTTATCGACAACACCTTACAAAGCAGCAATTTGGTGTCTTGCAACCCAAACCACCAGTATGTTTCCTAGTGTAATGACCCGCCAAAACACAGACTGAGAACACTGCTGATTTCTGGGATTTGCCGCTGGAATGAATGCCTTGCTGCTCCCGCATTCTGCTGTGGTTTCCAAGTCTGTGTGTGTGTGTGCGTGCCTGCTGGTTTGCGCGCCTGTCTGAGTGCTTGTCGGCTGAGTGTGTGTGTGACCTGCAAGGGTACTTGTTGGTTGAAAGGCCCCGCAGGGCCAGTACTTACCTGTGGCCGTGACTTTGAGGGTTGCAGCGGGGAAAACACTCAAGTAGCGGGGGTAGGCCCGCGACACTTAGAGCGGCGGGAAAAACACGCAAGTAGCAGGTAGGCCGGTACCACTCAAGTAGTGGTAGAAGTGTCGGGTACTGGAGGCCGAGAAGAAGAAGACAAAAAGTTGACATTTTTAGAGGCCCAGTAGCGGTAGATTAGAGGTAGGCCAGTTCCAGTCCAAGTAGCCCGAGTCTTGGGTCTGTCCGGACGATAGCAGAGCCTGCAATGATGTTTCCTTCCGAAAGGGAGGAGGTACTGGTTGCTGGGAGGCCGCTCGACCTATGAAGTCACCGCCCAAGAGGCCAGTAGGCCTCTATATCTTCCGGAGGAGCAAGCAGCTCCTCCTCATTTGCGGTATGCAAGGATTGGCGACATGCTGCTGGAGCCAAGCGCTGGACTTGGGCAGCGCTGCCTGGAGGTGACGAGCAGCTGGGCGCTCAGCCTGGCTATGGCGAGCAGCCCAGCCTGAGGAGGAGGAAGAAGGGGGCGAAGGAGGAGAGTGGTGAGGTACCTACCAGGCTATGGTGGACACCATCTTCATCACCTTATTGGGGGCTGCATCTGGAAGGCCCCAGTTGGGTAGTGCCGCACCAAGGAAGCTCGAGGCAGAGTCAGGCATGGCGGCTTAGTCAGCAGCTGCATAGCTGCTTTGGGTTGTCCTTTGGACAGGAGTGCAGCGACATAGCTGCTTTGCATTGTCCTTTGCACAGGAGGGCAGGGCCCTCAGTAGTCCACCATAGCCTAGGCATGTGAAAGGTGGAAGAAGGGGGGGAAGCCATAGCTATGGTGGACCTACTGTGATGTCAGCAGTAAGAGGGAACTTCAGACATTGATTCTGGTTCATCCACTCATTGATATTATTATTATTTGTGGCGGACCCACCGGGTGAGGTGCTCCGCCTGGGATAGAGGTGGAGATGGAGGATGAGAGTGGAGCAAGATGGCACAGCGCAGCTCCCACGCAGACTCCAACGCACATACTCCAAACTGTGCGAATGTAGAATGAATCCAAGTACAGACTTTGGCTGGGGTATACCCCAGCGGACTGACKGGACTGGACTGGACTGGCTGGTACCGACAGAGGTACCGGCCTGGACTGGCCTACCCAGAATACAACACAAGCCTATGGGAACAGGCCAAGGGGCTGGTCTCACAGGCCAACCAGAGGTCCGCTACACGATCCTCATCCTGTGATGGATCACCTAGATGCAAGCACACTTCCCCCAAGAAGCGGAACTCTACCAAAGAAAAGAAAGCCCGAGTAATCTAGGATACGGAGCAAGCTCCATGCTGAGTCTATGCAATGCAACCTAGACTAGAAAATGTCACAAAAGCAGCAATGTCACAGATAACAGCCTAAGTGAAAGCAGAAAGCAACTAACTAGTATACATGTCCTAGGAAAGCAAAAGGTAATGATAACTAAATCCTAGAATGTTGGAGGCAGTAGCCTCAGTCTGGAAACAACTGACTATTGTACAATTCCTAAGAACAGCAAAAACAAAAACAACTAAATCCTAGAAATGTTAGAACCAGTAGCCTCAGTTTGAGAGCAACAAAGCAACAACAAGACAACCATATGTCAGTGTGTCGCAAACCATAGGGTGGGATGGTCTCTGAGGGTGGCGAATGCAGCCCACGGGTCGATAAACTCCTAAGGGCATCCACACATAATGACAGGGAGACACATATCATTAGGCTCAATGAGGGTAGGGAACTGGGAGCGAACAGAACCAATGACCCTAACAGATAGACCATTAGGGCGGGTAATGCTCGACTAAAGGGGGGACCGCTATGTAGGCTCGACCATGCAAGGGAATCAGGGAGCCTGGTATACCGGGCGCACCTAAATGAAGCATGCAAGGTTGCCTAACTAGAGCGGGAGGGCCGACAGAGGGTAGAAAAAGGGATGGGTAAGGGAATCATGAAAATGACTTCTAAAGTGAGGGAAGTCGGAGCTAGATCCGTAAGCTGGGAAGTCAGGACGACGTTACGGTTCCGATGCCTATGCGTATACCAATGGAGAGCTCAACTCAAAGGAACCCGACGAAGGGAGACCATCATGCGACACAACCAGGGTACTGTACAGGGTAAGGTGGTAAGAGAGTGATGACGTCTGAAGTAGGCAGAGCTGATAGTGACGAAGGTTGTGAAGCGGCCACTGACGTCCATAATGAGAAGTCTGGAATGCCGTCGAGGAAGAGCCGCAATGTCGATGAGCTGAAGTAGCAAAACTGGAGTGGATAGAGTATTGAGAAGTCAAGGACGTGGGAAGATAAGTTAGAGTCAATCGTCGTATCGGGCAGGACGACAATGAGTGCGTTGTGGACGCTCAGAAGCATCCGGCTGCAGGTGAAGGTCTGCCTCAAAGGGAGCATGCTCGACTTCAGCGGTCTCCTCAACCGAGGGAGAAGGAAGAGGGTCAATGGGTTGAGGAGGAGCAATCAACCCAGCGCGACGAGCACGGTCATAGGCACGCACCAACATGCGAGCGTGTTGTAAGTGCTCGAGGGGCTCCCAAATAGCCTCCTTATCAGGGTAACCCTTCCAACGTACGAGATACTCAACGTGAGGAGGGTAGTCGTCGGTGACTCGGCGACCAATGATGTCTGAAACGAGGAACTCCTTGTGGCCGTCCACCATGATGGGTGGAGGGCACTCGTATAATCGTCCAACAAAGGCCTCTGACGGTCTACGGTAGGGACGCAGTAATGAGACGTGGTAAACATCGTGGACACGAGTCTGTCGTAGGTAGTCAGGCAACTTCACACGGAAGCTGACCCGACTAGATATCGTATCATCACTGACGGCCTGGAGAACGCGGCATGGGCAAAAGAAGCGATGCCGAAACTTGCAAAGCTTGTCCGCTTCGAGCTGTAAGTGGCGGGCGTCGACAAACACATCATCACCGACTTTGAATGGGTGGTCCATCCTCGATCGGTTCACACGTGCGGCCATGCGAGTCTGGGAAGCGGTTGTGTGCTCATGTGGGGTCTTCATGATCGACGTCATGTGTGCAACCCAATCATCCAGCGCGGAACAACTGGTGTCGTGGTGCATCTATGACGGTCGAAGGAAGTTCGCGGGAACACGAGGGTGATAACCAAGGTCGCAATAGTAAGGCGAGATCCCCTTGGCTGGCGAGACGGCGTGGTTGTAGGCTATCTCCGCGTGGGCAAGATGGAGATTCCATTGTTGGTCGTCACAAACAATCTTTCGGTGAATATCTTTAAGAGTTTTGTTCGTGACCTTGGTTTGACCATCAGTCTGGGGGTGGTAAGAGGAGGAGAAGCGGAACTGGGTGCCGTACACCTTGTGGAGCCGTCGCCAGAATCGGCTGAAAACTCGCGGGTCTCAGGGGTAAGCCGTGGTCACGCACGACTCGGTCAAACACGATGTCGGCGACTTCACGTGCATTGATGGCATAGCGGCACGGAACAAAGCGTGCGCACTTCATGAAGCAGTCGACGACGACCAAGATAGCATCATGACTGTGGGGGGTCGGTGGACGAAGAGGACCGATAAAGTCCATCGAGATGAACTGCCAACAACCCTCAGGGATAGGAAGAGGCTGGAGCAAACCATAAGGCAGGTGGTTCTTACTGTTTTCTCCTTACACGTGGGACACTCTGCGACGTAGTCGTTCACAAAGTCCTTGCGCTTCGGTCAGACGTACAGGCGGCTCACACGAGCCAATGTCTTGTGGAAGCCCATATGACCGGCGGTTGCCTGGTCATGGAACTCTGCGATTGCCTGGACACGTAGTTGTCCAATGGAGGGAACGCAAATGTGGGGCTTTCTAGTGCTATGTGAACCGTGCCAATACACAAAATCATTGTCCCCGAGAGAGTAGTTCGGGACGGTGCTGCCACTCCGAAGGGTCGCATAGATGTCGCAATAGTCGGGGCAGTGACGGTATTGAGTGTGAAACTCGTCGGTCACCGAATGGTGGACGGTGCTGACCGAGATAGCAACGAGATGGATCTGCTCCAGATTATGGTCAGGGCGCCGGGATAAGGCATTTGCGACCCAATTGGTCTCACCCTTGATCTGCTCAGTGGTGAAACTAAACTCGGATAGGGCGCGCCACCAACGAGCCTGTCAAGGAGTGAGCTTCGTCTTTGTCAGAAAAACCTAGATAACAGAGTTGTTCGTGCGCACCGTGAATGGTACCCCGTGCAGGTATTGAGGCAAGTGCTAAGTGACATAAACTACTGCGAGAACCTCACGTTCATCAGCAGTGTAGTTTATCTCGGCGGGCAGGAGCTGACGGGAGTAGAAGGCTATCGGACAATCACCTGAGCGAGACTCGATAGTATCATCCTCGGCGATGGTAGGAGAATAGTCAATAGAAGGCTCGTTAGTAGCTGGACGAGTAGGCATCAGGCGGGAAGCAGTGGTAGGGGTAGGGGGTGGGGGGTGAGGGATGGATGGATGAGAGGAATTAGGAGAGGAGGGGAAAATATGAGAAAGCATTGCTTCTACAACAAAGTGTGACGCATCAGTGGTAAGGATAAAAGGGCGATCAAAATCGGGTAGGTGGAGAACCGGTGCACATGTCACCGCCTTATTGAGGGCGCAGAAGGCGTCCTCATGGAGGGGTGTCCAAACCCATAACTGGTTCTTCCGAAGGAGGGTAGAGGTAAGGATGTAGGAATACCGAGAGTATCCCTGGATGAAATTACTATAGTAACTAGTGAGGCCCAGGAAACTGCAAAGGTGCTTGGCGGATGTGGGGACGGGCCACTCCGCAATAGTAGTGATCTTCGCATCATCCGTGTGGAGACCCCGGTCAGACACGTCGTGTCCTAATAAATCCACTTTGTGTTGGGCAAAGCGACACTTGGCGTAGAAGCCATGTTTGCACAAGCGGTCAAGCACGTCGCGGAGGCGTCTAAGATGCTCCTCAAGGGTACGACTGTAGATCAGGATATCGTCGAGGTAGACGATAACGTACTGCTACAGGATGTCCCTGAAGATGTCGTTCATCGCCGTCTGGAAGGTACCGGATGCGTTGGTGAGGCCAAATGGCATCACCGTAAACTCATAGTAGTCGAAGCGCGATTGGAACGTTGTCTTCGGTTGGTCCGCTGTAGTGACGTGGATCTGATGGTAACCGCTACGAAGATCAATCTTTGTAAAGAAGCGGTTGCCTGCTAGGCGGTCAAACAACTCGTCGGAACGAGGCATGGGGTAGTTGTTCTTAATTGTGTAGCGGTTGACACCACAATAATCGATGCAGAGACGGAGAGTTTCATCCGCTTTGCAAGCAAAGAGGACGGGTGCACCCCACGAGGAGTTGTTGGGTTTAATGAAACCCAGTCTTAGGAGCTTCTCAAGCTGACGCTTCAGTTCAGTGGCCTCGGGGATCGAGAGTTTGTATGGTGTCTGGTGGTGAATACGATAGTCAGGCACAGGCTGGATGGAGTGCTCGACGTCGCCTACGTGTCCGAAATTGGATTCAACGGTGGTTTCTCGTTGAACGGTTCAACGGCCGTTGAACCCCTATTAGAACTCTGCGTTATATCGCGTTTATCGCGGTACAACGCGGCCGAAAAAAATGTGCAAAAAAAAAAATAAAAAATAGGGGGGTGTAGATTTTTGTGCGCTCTACATCCCCATATATATATATATATATATATAGATATATTTGCATATTTTTTAATTTAAAAAAATAAAAAACCGAAACGGTGGTGGAGGGAAAGGCGTAAACACGGAGAAAAAAACGAATTACAGTGAGGGAGGGCCCGTGGGGGAGGTGACGAGCCGTGGGTGGCGGGGGGATAATGATGGCGGGGTGCCGAGATCGGACCGTTTTTTGCGACACCGCAGAAAACTCGGCGCTGGTAAGGCAGCTGCCTGGCAGCAAACGACAAGAGATCGACCATAAAAAGGTCGAATCTCTATTGTCTTCTGCAAGGCATTGCATGCCGCTACAGTCCGTTGTGACAAGTGCAGCGCGGGGGCGTTGTAGAACAGTTGACAACGGAGGTTTGACGGGGCTTAGCGCGCATTCAACCGCGAGAGAGAGAGAGAGAGAGAGAGAGAGAGAGAGAGAGAGAGAGAGAGAGAGAGAGAGAGAGAGACGAGGCGACGAGGCGCAAGCGTAAACAAGGGAGAATCGAGGAGAGAGGTAGGAACTTCTTCCATCAACCAATCTGGATTGATTGACTGTTCGATTGATTGATTCTCTCTCTCTCTCTCTCTCTCTCTCTCTCTCTCTCTCTCTCTCTCTCTCTCTCTCTCTCTCTCTCTCTCTCTCTCTCT